GGGGGGGGGATGTCGGATTGGCACGTTTTTTTCAGCTTCATTACCAAGAAATGTTTTTCTAACATGTTTCATGGTAATCACATCCACTTTATCTTTTTTTTTTTTTTTTGGGAAAGGATCTGATGACAGAAAGTCTCTCCAGTCCCGGAAGGACTTGGATCACTCTTCAGAGACCAAAGCTTGTGTGAATGTTTTCAGGTCGCTCTTCAGAAAGCATTTGACAGGCTGTAAGGAGCTGCTGTGTATCGCCTCCTCACCGCCTGCTTTAACCCCCTTGGACCCCACGCTAGTGCGCCGCAACCGTGTACATTGCACTGGAATGGGTCGGCGGGTGACGGGGTGTAATTCCTGCTGCAGCATATATACACTCTCAGCTGCTGTTCCTGCAGCTAAAGTGGAAATGGTTGGGAGGCAGTAAACCTGCAGCTCAACTGCAGGGTTTTACCGCTCCCCCCTCCCCCACAACCACTAGTGTGGAAATGCTGTGAAGAGTCTCGACAGGCTCGTTCAAACAGGAATTGTGCCCAACCTGCGGCCCTTCAGTATGTGATGTGAGACCCCCGGAATTCAGCAGTCTGTAGTGGGATTGTTGGTGATGTCAGGGGCCACAGTGGAGCCCCCCTTTATCTTATAAGTTGACAGCCACTGGTCTTGGCCCTGTCACATGGACCAAAAATCTATAAATACACCAAGTTAGGGGTGGGCAACAGTGGCCCCCAACTGTTGTGGAACTACAAGTCCCATCATGCCTATGCTTCTAGAAGTAACCGTCAGTCTTTCCAGTATGTGATGTGCGGCCCCCGGACTTAAGCAGTTTATAGTGGGATTGTTGGTGATGTCAGAGGCCACATTGGAGCCCCCCTTTGGCTTATAAATTGACAGCCACTGGTCCCGGCCCTGTCACATGGACCAAAAATCTATAAATACACCAAGTCAGGGGTGGGCAACAGTGGCCCCCAACTGTTGTGGAGCTACAGGTCCCATCATGCCTCTGCTTCTAGGAGTAACTGTCAGTCTTCCCATCATGCCTCAGAGTCAGGCTTGTAGCTGTCAGTTTTGCAAGGCCTCTTGGGAGATGTAGTCCCACAACAGCTGGAGGGCCACAGTTGCTCACCCCTTCTCCTGTGACGGGACAGACAAATCTATGTGGAAGAGACTAAATGGACTCATTTTCTTGAGCGGTGCTAAAAGTGCCGGTCTGACCTCACCCTCTTATTGGTTGAACTGGACTGGAATGACCAAAACCAGGGGTAGGCAACCTCGGCACTCCAGCTGTGGTGAAACTACAAATCCCATCATGCTTCTGGCTCTGGGAGTCATGACTGCAGCCGCCAGTCTTGCAATTCCTCATGGGACTTGTAGTTCTACAGCAGCTGGAGTGCCAAGGTTGCCTACCTTGACCTAAGCCATCCTGTCAGAGAAAAACCCTAAAACAAAAAACATTTGTGTATCCTTAAAGAAGCCCTTACCCCTCCCAATCCTCATTGGCGCCTGCACGAGTGGTGATCTTCAGGTCGCTTCATTGGCTGACACAGATTGACGTCACTTCCGTGCATGCGCAGGAGTCAGTCATCCCCCGCACATGTCAACTGGGCTGGCGACGTCAGCTGAGCTGCGAAATGCGCAGCTCAGTATACTTGCCGCAGAACATTGCGAGTGGTCAGGTAGGTGTATTTTATGGCATTACATGTCTCTTCTGCATATCAAATGCCTGCCTGCTCGCACTTTGCGACAGCGCTTTAACATGAGATCTGCGGGAGTTGCTCTACAAAAAAAATAACTCCCACAGACCATGTATGTGCTAGCAGCGCAACGCAACGCAGCGCAGCGCAGCGCCTCTGAACGTACCGCATGTCCAGGGTGGTGGCACACAGGGCATCTTTCATCCCCGCGCATGTGAACTGGGCTGGCGACGTCAGCTGAGCTGCAAAATGCGCAGCTCAGTTTAGGTGCCGCAGAACATCGCGAGCGGTCAGGTAGGTGTATTTTATGGCATTACATGTCTCTTCTGCATATCAAATGCCTGCCTGCTCGCAGTTTGCGACAGCGCTTTAAAATGAGATCTGCGGGAGTTGCTCTACAGAAAAAAAAAAAAAAAAAAAACACTCCCACAGACCATGTATGTGCTAGCCGTGTAGCGTCTCCAAACGTACCGCATGTCCAGGGTGGTGGCACACAGGGCATCTTTTCAGCCAGGGCACAGCTTAAAGCCAACCCAGCGGCCAAAAATCTGGAGGAAAGCGAACCTCTCTAGGGCGATCCTGGGGCACCGAGAAGAGAACTGGTGTGCTGACGCCTGGGCCTGCAACGCATTTTACTGGTTTCATTGGCCGCAGGATTACTTCAAGGTGGTTCATTGGCATTTTTTTTTTTTTTTTAGCTGCGTGTGACAGGAGGAAACAACCCGGCTTTTCTTTGAATTGGTTGGCTTCTGTCAGGAGCGGATTCTCTTCAAAAATCCAGTTGATTTAAAAAAAGAATCTGTAGCTGCTGACTTTTAAAACAGACACTTACCTGTCCCTCGGTCCGGCGGTGTCCTCACCACGGCTGGTTTCACCGGCCGTCTTCTCTCCCCGCCATCTTTGGTGTGGGCACCCGGCTGTGACTGCTTGCGGGTGACCCCTGCGCATGTGCGAGAAGCGCTGTGCTTTGTGAATGGCCCCGTAGTCTTCTGGGAGCTCTCACGTGTCCCAGAAGACTATGGGGATGGAGGGGGGAGGACAACTGCTTCCGATCGCCTCAAATTCGGGTACCCGCTCCCCTTCCCTGCTCCCCAAAAGGTGCCGATTCTTAACATGGAGCAGGGGGACAATGCGTTAAAGCAAAACTTTCCCTTTTGGGGTGCAGCTCCGCTTTAATATCTTATTCCTGGCTCCGTCAGGCTACCTTAAACCGCCCCCGAGCAACATCCCCTCTAAGTAGCTTTGAGCCACATGCTGTTCTCGTGTACAATGCAGGTTTATTATCTCTACACTGCATGTGATGTTGCTGCAGGGACCACCCACAGCCCCTAGGTAAGGAATACATCTTATCCATGCACCCCCTAATTAGTCAAGCATTCAAAGGCCAAGTTCGCCTTTTGAAAAAAAAACATCATAAATGCACATTTATTTTTTTTGCAGGTAAAACAAATGTGCATTTATCATTTTTTTATTTTCCCCTAAGCAGCGTGCAGAGCATTGCACCTGCAATCAGCAGATGGGGCTGCAATGTCGTCAAGGCTCCTGCGGACCGTCAAGGAGGCTCCTGCAGACCGTCAAGGAGGCTCCTGCAGACCGTCAAGGAGGCTCCTGCAGACCGTCAAGGAGGCTCCTGCAGACCGTCAAGGAGGCTCCTGCAGACCGTCAAGGAGGCTCCTGCAGACCGTCAAGGAGGCTCCTGCAGACCGTCAAGGAGGCTCCTGCAGACCGTCAAGGAGGCTCCTGCAGACCGTCAAGGAGGCTCCTGCAGACCGTCAGACTCCTCAGACCGTCAAGGAGGGAGGCTCCTGCAGACCGTCAAGGAGGCTCCTGCAGACCGTCCGCAGACCGTCAAGGGCTCCTGCAGGCCCTCAAGAGGCTCCTGCAGACCGTCAAGGAGGCTCCTGCAGACCGTCAAGGAGGCTCCTGCAGACCGTCAAGGAGGCTCCTGCAGACCGTCAAGGAGGCTCCTGCAGACCGTCAAGGAGGCTCCTGCAGACCCTCAAGGAGGCTCCTGCAGACCCTCAAGGAGGCTCCTGCATACTCCTGCAGACCCTCATAGACCCTCAAGGAGGCACTCTGCATACTGTATAGGGAGGCACATGATTAAAAATGAATTCGTAAATGCATTGAAAACCAATTAATCCGTTCCGGAGGTAAAAAAAAAAAAAAGGGTCTTTTATCTGTTCAAAACTTTATAAACTTGAAGTGATTAATTGGATTAATTGGTTTTCAATGCATTCCTATGGGAAAACGCGGTTTACTAATTTTTCGCAATACGAAACGTCCCGGAGAACGCATTAAATTCGTAAACCGAGGTACCGTTGAGATAAACCGGCCAGAGGAATCCCAATCGCAGCAATCAACAGTTAACCAGTGAAACCCGAACCCATCGGTGACATAATACACAAGCCAACTAGTCCAACTAGTCAGACAGTAAATGGTACAACTAGGCGAGTCTCTTGTGCACCAACCAAATGAAGAGAAAGGCTTCAAAAATATTTGAATGTTGAGACCTCTGAATGGGAACCTCCATCAAAAACAAAAAAAAAATGTCAGAGGTCCCTTCCTTATTTTGACATACTAATCCCTCATCTCGATTGGATATGAATTCCCATCGTCTTGTATTTCCGCCATTTTCATCCCCCACTAACGTTTCCACCAGACTTTCTACATTCCGCCATCTTCATCCCGTCCCCCCACAGTTTCCACCGGACTTTCTACATTCCGCCATCTTCATCCCCTCTCCCCCCCTACAGTTTCCACTTCGGACTTTCTACATTCCGCCATCTTCACCCCTCCACAGTTTCCACCAGACTTTCTACATTCCGCCATCTTCATCCCCTCCCCCCCCCCCACAGTTTCCACCGGACTTTCTACATTCGTCATCTTTCTGTTAATACACCTTCTGCACCAACCTCACATATTTGGGTCCAAATGTCTTTCCTTTCCTTCTCTTACTCAAGCCATCAGATCCTCCCTCCCACCTCGTGGCCCATCCACCACATTCTATACTTCCTGCGATTCACCTACCTATACCACCAATGATCACATTCGTTCTTCAATCCCATCCGATTTCCCCCCTTTGTTAGTGTCTAGATTTCCTTTCCCTATACAACTCTCCCCTCTTCTAATACACAACATTCCTCGTTTCTGTTACATTTCATACTATCTACCAGCAGAGCGTGTCTTGGCTGTGGGTGATCGAACGCTGGGACTGCAGCACCCAGGATTAGCACAGTATACAGTGAAAGTTGTGTTTTCGGATTTGTAGTGTTCCGCCGGCTACCCCACCGATTCCTAGATTTCAGTGAAGGGAAATCAGCAGACGATCTCTTGCCGCATGTGGATGATCTGTAACAAAGCATCCTGTACGTCGGCATCCATGTGACCCTGGAAAGAGAAGAAGACGATCATACTAGCAGATAAAAACAGCTTCAATACCCCCAGATACCTGGAGGAGCTGCAAAGTCACTCTGGGGGTCGATTTACTAAAACTGGAGAGTGGAAAATCTGGTGCAGCTCTGCATAGAAACCAATCAGCTTCTAACTAACAGAGCAAAAATCTTTAGGTTCGATATTCGGCCGATTTTCGTGGTTCCTCTCCATTTCATTTTTCATGAATTTTCCAGAATTTTCATGCCCGATAAATGACCGATTTTCAACATCATTGGTGGCACCATCGGATTACAGGATGAACGATGTTTTCGATTTGCGATCGAAAAATCTTCCAGGATTCGACCCATGCAAGGCCTGCTTTAAAAGCTGATTGGCTACCATGCACAGCTGCACCAACTTCAATACCCCCAGATACCTGGAGGAGCTGCAAAGTCACTCTGGGGGTCGATTTACTAAAACTGGAGAGTGGAAAATCAGGTGCAGCTCTGCATAGAAACCAATCAGCTTCCAGGTTTTATCGCCAAAGCTTAATTGAACAGGCTGAAGGCCAGCCATATGTCGGTTGATTGTAAAACGATTTTTCGATCGAAAATTGGACCTAAGAATAATCGGCCGATTTTCACTCTGTTATTGTGCCCCACTAAGAGCGAAAATCGGCCAATTATTCTTAGGTCCGATTTTCGTGGTTCCTCCCCATTTCGTTTATCAGGCTTGCTAGAAAATTCGTGAAAAACGACGATTTTCGAAATCATTGGTGGCACCGTGGGATTACAGAACAAACGATGTTTTAAATTTTTGATCGAAAAATCGTTCGGGATTCCACCCATACATGGCCTTCTTTAGAAGCTGATTGGCTACCATGCACAGCTGCACCAACTTCAATACCCCCAGATACCTGGAGGCGCAGCAAAGTCACTCTGGAGGTCGATTTACTAAAACTGGAGAGTGGAAAATCTGGTGCAGCTCTGCGTAGAAACCAATCAGCTTCTAACTAACAGAGCAAAAATTATTAGGTTCAATATTCGGCCGATTTTCGTGGTTCCTCTCCATTTCGTTTTTCATGAATTTTCCAGCATGCCCGATAAACGACCAATTTTCGACATCATTGGTGGCACCATCGGATTACAGAACGAACAATGTTTTCGATTGAAAAATCGTTGGGGATTCGACCCACGCATGGCCTGCTTTAGAAGCTGATTGGCTACCATGTACAGCTGCACCAACTTCAATACCCCCACTAACAGAGCAAAAATCGGCCGATTATTCTTAGGTCCGATTTTCGTGTTTCCTTCCCATTTCGTTTATTGGGCTTGCTGGAAAATTCGTGAAAAACGACCGATTTTCGAAATCATTGGTGGCACCATCGGATTACAGAACGAACAATGTTTTCGATCGCAAAAATCTTCCAGGATTCGACACACACATGGCCTGCTTTAGAAGCTGATTGGCTACCACGCACAGCTGCACCAACTTCAATACCCCCAGATACCTGGAGGCGCTGCAAAGTCACTCTGGGGGTCGATTTACTAAAACTGGAGAGTGGAAAATCTGGTGCAGCTCTGCGTAGAAACCAATCAGCTTCCAGGTTTTATTGCCAAAGCCTAATTGGACAAGCTGAAGTTAGGCCGGCCATACGTGGGTCGATTTTCGAATGATTTCGGTCAAAAATCGGACCTAAGAATAATCGGACGATTTTCGCTCGTTATTGTGCCCCACTAACAGAGCGAAAATCGGCCGATTATTCTTAGGTTCGATATTTGGCCGATTTTCGTGGTTCCTCTCCATTTCGTTTTTCATGAATTTTCCAGCATGCCCGATAAACGACCGATTTTCGACATCATTGGTGGCACCACCGGATTAGAGAATGAATGAGGTTTTCGATCGAAAAATCATTTGGGATTCGACCCATGCAAGGCTTGCTTTAGAAGCTGATTGGCTACCATGTACAGCTGCACTAACTTCAATACCCCCAGATACCTGGAGGAGCTGCAAAGTCACTCTGGGGGTTGATTTACCAAAACTGGAGAGTGCAAAATCTGGTGCAGCTCAGCGTAGAAACCAATCAGCTTCCAGCTAAAGCTTAATCGAACAAGCTGAAGTTAGGCCGGCCATATGTGGGTCAATTTTCAAACGATTTTTCACTCGAAAGTCGAACCTAAGAAGAATCGGCCAATTTTCACTCTGTTATTGTGCCCCATTACCAGAGCGAAAATTGGCCGATTATTCTTCGGTTCGATATTTGGCCGATTTTCGTGGTTCCTCTCCATTTCGTTTTTCATGAATTTTACAGCATGCCCGATAAACGACTGATTTTCGACATCATCGGTGACACCATCGGATTACAGATTGAACAAAGTTTTCGATTGAAAAATCGTTCGGGATTCGACCCATGCATGGCCAGCTTTAGAAGCCGATTGGCCCCACTAACAGAGTGAAATCGGCCGGGATTCGACCCATGCATTAGAAGCGGATTGGCTACCATGTACAGCTGCACCAACTTCAATACCCCCACTAACAGAGCAAAAATCGGCCGATTATTCTTAGGTCTGATTTCTGTGTTTCCTCCACATTTCGTTTATCGGGCTTGCTGGAAAATTCGTGAAAAACAACTGATTTTCGAAATCATTGGTGGCACCATCAGATTACAGAACGAACAATGTTTTCGATTGCAAAAATCTTCCAGGATTCGACCTATACATGGCCTGCTTTAGAAGCTGATTGGCTACCACGCACAGCTGCACCAACTTCAATACCCCCAGATACCTGGAGGCGCTGCAAAGTCACTCTGGGGGTTGATTTACCAAAACTGGAGAGTGGAAAAACTGGAGCAGCTCTGCGTAGAAACCAATCAGCTTCCAGGTTTGATTGCCAAAGCCTAATCGAACAAGCTGAAGTTAGGCCGGCCATACATGGGTCGATTTTCGAACGATGTTTTACTCGAAAGTCGAACCTAAGAATAATCGGCCGATTTTCGCTGTTATTGGGCCCCATTACCAGAGCGAAAATCGGCCGATTACACTGTTCAACAGGTAAAAAGTTTTGGGCATAAAATGAGCTAATCTTACATAATTTTGGGGTGCTGAAAACGAAAATGACCCTAAAAAATGTTGATTGGCTCTAGTTTCCATGATATATTCACCCATCTAATGACGTAAGCCATTCAAAATTATGATGCAACTTCAGCTGCATATTGCGCAATTGATACTGGTGACCAATAGAAAATGTCATGTATACTGAGATGATGCAATATTAGCCTTTAATTGCATCACTTCGCTGCATAAAAGCTGCAGTATCTGTAGCTGATTGGAGTTCGTCTTTACATTTCGTTTTCTGCTTATATAGGCTACTCAGTAATGCCTCGAACTTGTGTGAATAAAGCAGATAATTTCTGCTATATCTGCGGTGAAATAACTTTTATCTCACAAAAAAGGAGGATAACAGGAATGATTAAGAAAGCCTACAACTTGTATTTTGGCTGCAAGATAGGAGACCAGGACAAGAGCTGGGCACCACATATATGCTGCAATTCTTGTGGGACGGCACTGGAGCAATGGTTGAATGGAAAAAAGGCATCTATGCCTTTCGCTGTGCCAATGATTTGGAGAGAGCCAACAGATCATGTTAGTAATTGTTACTTTTGTATGGTACCTCCAATTGTAAAAGGGCTAAATAAGAAGAAAAAGTTATCTGTGCACTATCCAAATATTCCATCGGCAATACGTCCAGTTCCTCATGGAGAGGGGCTACCAATTCCTAAAGCACCAGAATCCTTCGTGGTTGAGCCAAGTGAGGAAGAACCTGAAGCGTGTAGTCACGTGCAGTTGTAAGAGATAGCCCTTTCCTCGAATACAAGAGAAAAGCCAAGAGAAGCAAAACCGACACAAACTGAAGACAAAACTAGTGAGAATCCTAAGTATTAAAATGATTCAACTTAGCTTATGGCTATAATTTTTCTTGGTAATCCTATGCAATATATTCTGCCATTTAGGCTTTGTTATGTAGTCAATATCACTTGCTTTATATTTGTGGAAAGACATCTATCTATATAATTATTGTGCATTATGTAGTCATTACGCCTACAGTAGAAAACTTTCCGTTTACAGAAAAACTAGAGCCAATTGACAAATTTCATTGTTCTATTTGAACTCAGAATGTGAAATTCATTAAGAAATGGATCCTTTTGTTTCCAAAACTGGCAAAAAATAAAAATTTGTTGAACAGTGTTATTCTTAGGTCCGATTTTCGTGTTTCCTCCACATTTCATTTATTGGGCATGCTGGAAAATTTGTGAAAAACGACAGATTTTCAAAATCATTGTTGGCGCCATTGGATTACAGAGCGAATGATGTTTTCGATCGCAAAAATCGTTCGGGATACGACCCATGCATGGCCTGCTTTAGTCGCGTACTGGCTACCATGTACAGCTGCACCAACTTCAATACCCCCAGATACCTGGAGGCGCTGCAAAGTCACTCTGGGGGTCGATTTACTAAAACTGGAGAGTGGAAAATCTGGTGCAGCTCTGCGCAGAAACCAATCAGCTTCCAGGTTTTATTGGCAAAGCCTAATTGAACAAGCTGAAGTTAGGCCAACCATATGTGGGTCGATTTTCGAATGATTTTTCGGTCAAAAATTGGACCCAAGAATAATCGGCCGATTTTCGCTCGTTATTGTGCCCCACTAACAGAGGGAAAATCGGCTGATTATTCTTAGATTCGATATTTGGCTGATTTTCGTGGTTCCTCTCCATTTCGTTTTTCATGAATTTTCCAGCATGCCCGATAAGCTACCGATTTTCGACATCATTGGTGGCACCATCGGATTAGAGAATGAATGATGTTTTCGATCGAAAAATCATTCGGGATTCGACCCGTGCATGGCCTGCTTTAGAAGCGGATTGGCTACCATGTACAGCTGCACCAGCTTCAATACCCCCACTAAGAGAGCAAAAATCGGCTGATTATTCTTAGGTCCGATTTTCGTGTTTCCTTCCCATTTCGTTTATCGGGCTTGCTGGAAAATTCTTGGAAAAACAACCGATTTTCGAAATCATTGGTGGCACCATCAGATTACAGAACGAACGATGTTTTTGATTTTCGATTGAAAAATCGTTCAGGATTCAACCCATGCATGGCCTGCTTTAGAAGCCGATTGGCTAGCATGTACAGCTGCACCAGATTCTGAGTGCTCCAGTTGGAGTAAATCTCCCCTCAAAGCCTAATACACACGATCAGAAAATCATACGAAAAATACGTCTTTCGAAGCGATCGTACGGTAATCTGATCGTTAGTACACAGCTTTCTTCTGAAATGATTAGAAGGGACAAGTACGAAAATTTTTTAAATTCCTCCATCGACTTCAGTACAACCAGTATGTCGAACTTTTTGCATTTGATTACTGCCAGCGGCTACAGCCCCCAGCAGTAATCATTGTGTTCTACCAGCAGGGAAGGTTCCCCGCCGGCAGAACAAAATAGAGCTGCGGGAGGGATTCCACTGTCTCTACAGATGGGAGAATCCAGCGATTTTCTTTTCGGCCAACTCATGGTTGTAGGAAGAAAAATTCCATCATCTATGGATTGCTTAACCGCATTCCTGCCGCCCCATAGCAGACATACTACTACAGGGGGTCAGGGGTGCGCACAATCACGTGGATATATGCGTGATTTTGCTTTTCCAGGCAGGAGGCGCATGCACGACCATCAATCACCGGGTCCCAGCCTGCGATTACTTGCCGCCGCCCGGTGGTTGATGAGCATCTCCGACAGCGAAGAGAACGGTTTGTAAACAAAACAATTCTAAAACACCTTCTGTGCGCAGCAGCAGCTTCCCCAGCCCCCCCCCCCCCCCCCCAATACTTACCAAAGCCCCATCACGATCCAGCGATGTGAACGACAGCCTCGGCTGTCCCAGGTCTCTGCCTTCTCATTGGCTGTGACAGCAGCAGGAGCCACGTTAATCACAGCCAGCCAATGAGGAGAGAGAGGGGGTGGGGCCAAGCCGCGGCTCTGTGTGCGAGTGGACACACGGAGCAGTGGTGCCCCGCATAGCAAGCTGCTTGCTGTGGGGGCACCCGACAGGAGGGAGGGGCCAGGAGAGCCTGTGGGGGACCCAAGAAGAGGAGGATCTGAGCTGCATGGTGCAAAACCACGAACACAGCAGGTAAGTAATGGCATGTTTGTTATCCCCCCTCCATGGACCTTTAGAATCGCTTTAAGGTCGTTGCCAGATGATGATTTGGGAGAAGGAGGAGAGGCGCCATTCCTACAACTGGGTTCCCGCACTGCTTGCTTACTGCTCATGCGTGAGAATTGGATGGGCATGCGCAGTAGCCAGACGACAATTCCCGGACGCCAGCTTTGGCTGCCCTTACTTGGTACATTGTGTACACTGCACCAGGGGCGGACTGATCATTTGGAAACTCGGGCGCTGCCCGAGGGCCCGGGGTCAGTAGGGGGCCCCATGAGATACCTCTGGTACCTTTTTCATAGGCTTTTTTGAGTTTGGGCAAGGACACAGGGGCCCCATGATCCCCTATTGCCCGGGGGCCCCATGAGTTGTCAGTCCACCCCTGCACTGCACCTTATTCTACTTGAAATGCCTATTTATACAGTTCATTGCCGGAGGATCATGAAAAGGTTCTATGGAATGGTGTCACTGGATGGATGGTGTCACTGGATGGATGCTCCAGTTTAAGCTTTTCAGTCGGGCTGCAGAATCTGAAAATGTTTTACACTGAACCGCATTTCCTAATATTGTACGCAGTACTAAACTAGGCGGAGTCTTACCTGCACCGCATTCAGCAAATGGGAGCGATAAATGGAGACGATCTCCTGGTGCCTGCGCTGCGACTCCTGTAGGAAATAATACGTCCGTTAGACAACGAAGAAAGGGAACAGAGAAGATCTACAAAACACCAACCTAGATAATGACCACATAAATGACACTGACTGCACTGCCTCTTACCAACGCTCTTTGCCCACGGAAGACCTACGTGGTAGTTTGTTCCGTGTAACTCTTTAAAGTGGAGTTCCGGCTGAAAAAAAAAGTCAGCAGCTACAAAAACGGTGGCTGCTGACTTTTAACCACTTGCCCTCCTGAGGATTTACCCCCCTTAATGACCACGCCTCTTTTTGCTACCCGGCGCTGCACTAATTCAACTGATAATTGCGCGGTCATGCAACGCTGCACCCAAACGAAATTTGCGTCCTTTTTTTTCACACAAATAGAGCTTTCTTTCGATGGTATTTGATCACCTGTGCGCTTTTTATTTTTCACGCTATAAACAAAAAAAAAAGAAAAACAATATTTTTTACTTTCAGCTATAAAAACATATACCGTATTTTTCGCCGTATAAGACGCACTTTTTCTTCCCCAAAACTGGGGGGGAAATGTCAGTGCGTCTTATAGAGCGAATATGGAGCGGCCGGTCCGGTATTTCCACCGCGGCCATGTCAGAATACCGGGCCGGCCGCTCAGCTCTGCAGCGGGACCTTACCTGTTCCTCTATCCAGCGGCGCACTGTCTTCCCGGCTTCTGTAGTGTGGGGCACTGGGCATGACAGCGGGTGCCAAGTGCGCATGCGCAAGAAGCGGTACCTGGGACACAGGACAGATCCCAGAAGCCCGCCGACCAAATCACAAAGCGCAAGTGCTTCTCGCTCATGCGCACTGGGCACCGGCTGTCATGCCGAGCGCCATTACAGAAGCCGGGAAGACAGCGCGCGGCTGGATCGAGGAACAGGTAAGATCAAACAAAACTCTGCGGAAGAGCGGGTAACTGTCAAATTCAGGTACCCGCTCCCCCACTCTCCCCAAAGGTCAGCAGTCATCTGTATCTGTCCGCAGTCCAAACTGGCTGTGGTCATCTCCTGTGCTGTGTCCCTCTGTCAGTCCTCTGGTCCGCTCTCCCCTCCTGTGCTGTGTCCGCAGTCTGGTCATGGTCACCTCCTGTGCTGTGTCTGCAGTCTCTGGTCACCTCCTGTGCTGTGTCCGCAGTCTCGGGTCCATCTCCTGTGGTGTACAGATTATCTCTGTACTGTAGTCTCTGCATCACTGTGCTGTGGTCCGCAGTCTCTGGTCATCTCCTGTACTGTGTCCGCAGATCTCTGGTCATCTCCTGTACTGTGTCCGCAGTCTCTGGTCATCCCTGTGCTGTGTCCGCAGTCTCTGGTCATCCCTGTGCTGTGTCCGCAGTCTGCTGGTCATCCTGTCTGTGTCCGCAGTCTCTGGTCATCTCTCCTGTACTGTCTGTCCGCAGTCTCTTGGTCATACTCCTGTGCTGTCCGCAGTCTGCTGGTCATCTCCTGTACTGTGTCCGCAGTCTCTGGTCATCCTGTCCGCATGTCTCTGGTCATCTGTGCTGTCCCAGTCTCTGGTCATCCCCTGTACTGCTGTCCGCAGTCTCTGGTCCATCCCTGTGCTGTCCGGCAAGTCCTCTGTATCCCCTGTGCTGTACCGCAGTCTCTGTCATCCCTGTGGTCTGTGCTGACCGCAGTCTCTGGTCATCTTGGTTATCCCTGTTGCTGTCCGCAGTCTCTGGTCATCTCCCTGTGCTGTGTCCGCAGTCTCTGGTCATCTCCTGTACTGTGTCCCCAGCTTCTCTGTTCATCTCCTGTACTGTGTCCTGCAGTCTCTGGTCCATCTCCGTACTATGTCTCGCAGTCTCTGGTCATCTCCTGTGCTGTGTCTCGCAGTCTCTGGTCATCTCCTTTGATACTGTGCTCCGCAGTCTCTGGTCATCTCCTGTACGCTGTCCCGCAGTCTCTCCCTATCTCTCTCTCCCCTGTTGCTGTCCGCAGTCTCTGCGTCATCCCTGTGTCTGTCCGCACGTCTCTGGTCCATCCCCTGTTCTGTCAGCCAGTCTCTGGTCATCCCCTGTTAGCTGTCCGCAGAGTCTACTGGTCATCCCTGTGCTGTCCGCATTCTCATGGAATCATGGCCAATGTGGCTGGTCTCGCAGTCTCTGGGGTAATCCCTGTGTCTGTACCGCAGTCTCTGGTCATCCACCTGTGCTGTCCGGCAGGCTCATGGTCCATCCCCGGTGCTGGTCCCCAGCAGTGCTCTGGTCATCTCCAGTTGGCTGTGTCCGCAGTTCTCTGGGTCACATCGCCTCCCTGGTATGTGAGTCACCAGCTCTCTAGTCATATGCTTCCTCCGGTACTGTGTCCGCAGTCTGTAGAGGGTCACCTTCAGACTGTTGGCTGATTGGTTGCGCAGGTCGAGGTGGGCTCAATATACCTTGTACTGTGTCTGCAGTCAATTAGTGCGAATAATTACAGAATTTTTTTTCTTCCTGTTTTCTGCCTTCTAAAAACTAGGGTGCGTCTTATACGGCCGAAAAATACGGTATAGGTAAACTCAAATTGGATTATAAATTTAGGCCAAAATGGTCCATGTTTTTCTAAAATAAATAGGCCAAAATGATTCTGCTCCATGTGCCAATTAAGGTGATAGTTATTAGCTTTGTTGTGAAGTGGTTAGAGTTACAAAACTATGGGATAGATACAGCAATTTACATCCATTTTTCTGCTATACAGCGCTGCGTCTAGTTTAATCGGACATTTGCGCGGTCATGCCAATAGCGGTACATAAATGAAATTTACATCACACACTCATCTCTACACCCACAAATTGAGATTTATTTCGGTGGTATTTGATCGCCCGGTTAGGGGGTGCGGTTTTTATATTTTATAGCGTTATAAAAAAAAAGGCTGACAATTTTGTGAAAAAAGTAAAAAACTATATTTTATTTACTTTTTGACTATAAAACATGTACAGTAAAAAAAAAAATGCAAAAATCAAATTTAGTCAAATTTTCTGCCAAAATGCATTCTGCGACATGTCTTTGCTACAAAAAAACCCAATACGTGTAAATTAGTTGGTTAACGTAAAAAGTTATAGCGTTTACAAATGGCGGGAAAGATACTGGGATTTTTTATGGTTTTTTTTTTATTACTAAATGATGGATAGGCGACCAGCGACTTATGGCGGGACTGCGACGGACATTCTGACATTGGGGGTACTGACTTGAGGTCACTGACCATCCCCAGTGACACCAATACAGTGATCAGTGCAAAAAAAAAAACACTGACACTGTACTAAAAACGGCACTGGGGAGGAAGGCAGTTAAGTTTATTATTCAGGGAAAGGTTAACCTGTGTGAGGGGAGTGTTTTACTAGGGGGCGGGTGTGTACTGCAGCGGGAACACCACTGATCGGGAGAGAGAAACTCTTCTGGTCCCTTTCAGCATGTTCAGGAGCTGTCAGGGAACTGACAGAAAAGCACAGTTACTGCAGCCCTGCTCTCTGTCAGTGATTGCCGCCGATCGCCGGGGAACATTGCAGGTAACTAGACCAGCTTGTAACCCGGCGACTGACACCGCGGCTGTGATCGGAGGGACAAGTATGGCGGTCGGCGCCCCCTACCTGTTTACAACGCACGTTTTAAAACGATGCTTTTGCCCAGCCGTGCCCACCCTTCCGCTGCCGTATTTATACAGTGGCAGGGTGGCAGGTGGTTAAAATACACGTACCTGTCCCTGCGCTCCCGCGGTGTCCTTCACCATGGCTGGTTTTCACCGACCGTCTTCTCTCCCTGGCGCCGGCATCTTATATGTGGGCACCCGGCTGTGACAGCTTGCGGCTTCACAGGCGGGTGCTCACTGAGCTATGCGCGAGAAGCATCTGCACTTTGTGAATGCCCCGTAGTCTTCTGGGACACCGATTTGCTTTTACAAAAAAAACCCATAAAGGCTCTGTAAAAGCAAGCATTTATCTTCTCTCTGGCTGCATTCCTGATTGGTCACAGCTTGTTACATGGTACAAGGCTGTTGTGAATAGCCCTGTACCATGTGACCTCTGTGATTATTCACAGATTTCACACGTAGTAAGGCAATGATGTCAGGAAGTGACATCATGTTTATTACTGTTTCATGTGATCACTGATTCGACAATCAGTGGTCACATGAATCAGGACCTCACACGAGGAGGTCCCATACAGCGTTCTGTGTTTCGCAGTTTTACACTGATTGCTTTTACACCTATAAAGGCTGTAAAAGCAATCATTTCTCCTTCTCTCTGGCTGCATTCTTGCAGCCATTGAGAAATACTGTGTGAGTTGTGATTGGTCACAGCTTGTCACATGGTACAAGGCTGTCGTGAATAGCCCTGTACCATGTGACCTCTGTGATTATTCACAGATTTCACAAGTAGTAAGCAATGATGTCAGGAAGTGAGATCTTATTTATTACTATTCATTTGGTCGCTGCCTGGTCAATCAGTGATCGCATGATCGGGACCTCACACAGAGGTCCCGTACAGCGATCTGTGTTCAGTGCCGCACGCTCCCAGGGAGCACGCCCAGGCAATGGATGTGGAGAGGACGTTTAGAAACGTCCACCCGCTTCGGCAGCGCCCCCGTCTGGCCGGACAGGAAGTGGTTAAAATGATGTATGGTCTCGAAATTAAAGGGAAAAAAAAAAAAAATAAAAGCCTTTCTTTCAGCTTTTTTAACTTTGTAAAGCAACTTTATTGAAACAAAAACAGCAAGGGTACAACATAAAACATTTGTATGACAAGCAAAAGGGGAAAGAGGGGCAGAAAAGAAGGAGAAGGGAGAGAAATGGGCAGCACAGTGGCTAAATGGTTAGCACTTCCGTCTAGCAGTACTAGGGGTCGTTGGTTCGAATCCCAGCCACAGCACCACCTGCCTGGAGTTTGCATGTTCTCCCTTTGCGGGTTTCCTCCAGGAACTCCGGTTTCCTCCCACACTCCAAAGACATGCTGGTAGGCGAATTGGTTCCTGTCTAAATTGGCCCTAACATGGTGAATGTGAGTTAGGGACCTTAGATTGTACGCCCCTTGAGGGTTAGGGACTGATGTGAATGTACAATATATATATGTAAAGCGCTGCGTAAATTGATGGCGCTATATAAGTACCTGAAATAAATAAATGGGATAACAATACGTCCCCCGTCCCCCCCCCTGCTTAGGGCATGCTAGCATTAACACAGATCACATGGTACACTGAAAACAACTGTTTATTTCAGCTTTAAATAACTTACCAATGCTTTACTAGAGTCATCAGAATTAAAAAGGGAAATGTTATCGTCTATAGCAGTGGTTCTCAACCTGTGGGTCGCGACCCCTTTGGGGGTCGAACGACCCTTTCACAGGGGTCACCTAAGACCATCAGGAAAACACATATTTCCGATGTGTAAAGAGCAGCTACTGTGTAGAAAGCAGCTACTGTGTAGAAAGCAGCTACTGTGTAGAAAGCAGCTACTGTGTAGAAAGCAGCTACTGTGTAGAAAGCAGCTACTGTGTAGAAAGCAGCTACTGTGTAGAAAGCAGCAGTATTGGAGGTAAAACGACACTTCATGACTTATAATTACTGGGTAAATAATTTTATGGTTGGGGGTCACCACAACATGAGGAGCTGTATGAAAGGGTCGCGGGCATTAGGAAGGTTGAGAACCGCTGGTCTATAGGAAATGGCGTAATGCCCGCCTACAAGGCCTACGTTTCGGAGTATAGCACAGTTCCACGCCATTACTTACATCCAGTTGGCACTGCAGGGCTTTGATCTGACTCTGCAGAGGCTCCATTAGTTGGCTTTTCCCAGAGAGCTGGGACAAGGACAGCTTCAGCCTCTCTACATCCTTGAGAAGAACGGAGACCTTCCCAAAAGAAAAACCAAAACATCAAAAACTTACAGAAAAGAGCAGATAGAGACAAACCGCAAGAACGCACCAGATCTCTTCAATATACAAAAAGGCTCTGACACTGTTAGTCATTTGCCCCATAGTCATGTTTCCAGTTGTCAAAAAAAAAAAACACACCTCAGCAATCCATGGCCTCCATAAAAAAGCCTTTAAAGGATGCCAGGAATATAAAAATCGATGGTAATACTTGGATACCAATTTACATATTAAAGAGGAACTCAACTGTATCTGAGAACTACAAACTGAAAACATGAATTATTTTTTAGTATTCAAAGCAAACTCCCCCCATCCATCTATGTCTTCATGCTTTAGTGTTGACCCCCCGAGCATTTCTAGCCGTGGCCATCTTGATTATAGGCAGATGATTCAGGTAGCATTAACCTCCTGGAATCTGTCTGCCCTTAGCTCAGGCATGTAGATGGGAAGATGTGCTTAGCTGAGAAAGCCCCTCCTCCCAAAAGACTCCTGGGATATATTACATAATTCTGGCCTAGGCCAGAAACCAGGAAGCAGTTACTGAAGAAATGTAAATTTACTAGACCTCCCTACCTATTTACTAAGGCTAGCCGTACAAGGATTTCTAATTTTTCAGGTTGATTGAGAGAGATTAATTCTGCTTTAACCCCTAGGCGCTGGCGCCTCCTGGCCCTTTAAGGGTTTCAGAAGCCGGGAGGCAGGGCGGGGTTTTAGGACCACATGATCGGGAAAGGTCCCGATCAAAAGAGGAGATCGCAACCTATGAGTACTGGACATGTGTGCTGGGAGTGCTCAGGGCGTGCGCTCTCAGCACGTTTTTTTTTTTTTTTTTAATAGAACGCAAATGAGAGGCTGCTCGGCGTCTAGGCCCAGACGCTGGGAGGCCGCACATTTGCGTTCGTCCGGCGCCAAGTAGTTAAACAAGAAATTGGGCCAAAGCTCTTTTTGCTGTACTTCTCCTAGGGATCATAGGAGTGCACTTCATTCTGCACTCCCGTGACCCATTAATCATCTGACAATGGGCTAAAGCCCGCTGTCGGCTGATGTCACTCAGCTGTTCCAGACTCTGGAGAGAGATCGCGACTTGTCGGGACCCACCCAGGTGCCTGGACCGGCACCTAGCTCAGCCAGCCTCTGAGAGCCTGAGCCAGATGCTCCTGCCTCCTGCACAGCCTAGAGGGGCAGAGCACTGAGCTGGCGGCTGACAGTCACCGACTCTCTGCTCACTGAAGACTGAGAACTGAGCAATCAGCCGTCTTTGATTGCTCAGTGCTCGGTCTTCGAGGTGGTGGGGGACAGATGCAGCATCAGATCGATTCTGCATCCACCTAGGTGAGTATAAACTTTTTTTTCTAATCAAACTTTTCTAGCATACAGAATAACAACACTAATTGTAGTATTAAACTCTAATAAAAAAAGAAAAACATATGCTTACAAAAATGTATCCTATCAGCAAGACACACATGAAGGGTTTGTGCACCGCGTCTCACCTGCTTTTCTTTGCTCTCCAGGTCTCTAGACGATTTCTGGATGTTCTCCTGCAACCCATCAATGGTGGAAAGACATTGTTCGTGTTTCCCCTTTAGCTGGGTGATCTCTTGTTCACGACTCTGGTTCTTCTGCTTGACCTTCTCGCACTGCGCGAGCGCATCCTGCAGCTTCTGCGCCATCTGTTTGTTCTCCTCTTTGTATTTGCTATTGGTGTCTTCCAGCAGTGCCACTCTCTGCTCCAGGGCTGTCCTTGCTGCAGTAAAATCGACTTTTTCCCTCTGCCTGTGACTCTGCACTTCCTCTAACTTTTGCTGGGCCCTCTTCAACTCTTCTTGTAGTCCCTTCGCTTCCTGATCAGCCGCAAGCAGAGCCTTCTCCTTCTCCTGCAACTTCGCCTGAGCTGCGGCCTCCCTTCTCTGCCAGTCCTCCTTTTCCTCAGCATGCCTTGCACCGGAAATACTAGATCGTCTCTGTTCCTCCAGTTCCTTTTCCAAGTCGTGCACTTTTTCCTGCATCTTCTCACACAGGCTGACTTTGGCACTTATCTCAGCTTCAAGGGTAGCTCTGATACCGTCCAGTGTGCTCTTCAACTCATTGTGATTTTGTATGGGAATGTATTGACTGCTAAGACATTCCTGCAGAGCGTTCAGCTTCCGGGTGGTTTTTTGGTTTTCTTCCTGCAATGCACGCTGCTTTTCCTCAGCCTGGACCCGTGTCTTCTGCAGGTCCTGTAGACCAGCTCGGAGCTCCTCCAGTTCTCTGAGCATGGCGGCCTCCTCTTCCTTTCGGGAGGTCTGCTCTTGGAGAAGGGTCTTCTTTGATATGTCCAGTTCCTTTCTGAGTTGAAGTGCCTCTTGTTGCTGTTTGGACAGACTTTCTTTTGCCTCTTGAGTCACTTGACACTGTTTCTGCAACTCAAACTCAATTTCCTTTTTGGCTGCCAAGAAGTTCTTCTCCTTCTCCTCCATACTTGTAAGCGGGGCGTATTTTTCAGTGATGCAACGTTGCAGTGTGTCCAGCTCCGTTCTCTGCTCTTTAATAGCTGCCTGAAGCCTGTTCACCTCTTCTTTTTCATGCTGATACTTCGAGAATGCCTGGGAACACTCTTGCTTCATCTTTTCTTCACATTTCTGCAGCTCGGCCACCTTGTCCCCATGTTGCTTTCTACTTACGTAATCAGAGCGGATCTGTTCCTTAAGCTTGTCCAATTGCGACTGCAACTACTGAACTCTGACCGCGCGGAAGCATCTCCAGTCGCCCGTGTCTGCAGTTCTGCATTTTTGGAGACCTCGGCTCTCAGACTTTCTTGCAGTTCTGCCTCCTTCGCAGTTTGGCTCTTCAGCCGGGTCTGCAATTCTAACTTCAGGGCCGATTCACTATCCAGCTGTGCTTGCAGGCTTTTCTGCTTCATAATCTGTTTTTCCAGGTTGGCTTGCATAGCCGTCACCTGTTTTGTCTCGCTCTCCAGTTGCTTACTGACCATGGCCACCTCGGCTTTAGCTTTCTCCAGCTCTGCGGTCAGCGAGACGGAGGCCTGCAGGTGTGTGGCGAGTGGTATGTGATTTTCCTTTAGGCTGGCGTTCTCCGACAGTAGAGAACAGCCTCTCTTTGCTTCTTCTTCACATTTCTTAGTCATGTCAGCCAGCTGTTTCTCCAGTTGTTTGACCTTTGACTGCATCTGTTTCATCTCGGTTTCATGCTCCTGGCGGGAAGTGGTGGATGCTTGGAGGAGAACCATGCCCTCCTTCAAAGTCTTCTTTTCCTCCAGCAGTTTCTCTTGCTCCAGTTCAACCTTCCTGTGATTCTGCTCCGACTCCGTTAGCTTTTGGCTCAGCAGGGCTATGGTTTCCTCACAGGCTCTCTTAGTCTCGGCATGCAGCTGTGCAGGAACATGCTGACTTCTCATTTGCCCTCTTAGCTCTTCGATTTGCCTCTGCAGCAGAATCTTCTCAGAATGCAGCTTCTCATTTTCCCGTGTGAGGCTGCTGTTCCTTACTTTGAAATCATCCATCTCCTTCTTTAGCATGTCCAACTTGGGTTCAGACCTCTTCTTCTCCTTATTTGCAGCTTCAAATTCATCCCTGACGCGGCTCAGCTCCCGTTCAGCTTCTTCTAATCTCCGGGACTTCTCATTCACCTCATTAGTTAAAAGGCATCTCATGTTTTCAAACTTGTCAGTGGTGACGGCCAACCCCAGCTGCTCTCCAACCTCTTGGGCCCTTCGCTCAGCTTTTTCCTTCTCCTCTTCACAAACGGCTAGCTCATCTTGCAGACGCCTGTTGTCCTTCCGCAGACGAGCATCCTCTCTGCGCAGTTCCTGCACCAAGAGCTCATTATGACGCAGCTGGTTGCGCAGCTTTCCGACTTCAGCAGATGCTCCCTCGTATTTGCTCTTTACTTCTTGGAGCTGCTCCTGTAGTTCTCCTGCACGTGAGCTGCCGTTTAGAGCTTCCTGGGTCAGATGATCTTTCAGGGCCAGGAAGTGCGTCTGCATCTGCTTCACTTTGCTCTCAGAATCCAACATCCGCTTCTGTACATCACGTAGTGCTTCTTCCAACTGCCGGATCTGTTGGTCCGACTCGGTTTTGCTCCGATCTCTTTCAGTGGCCAGAGCTAGACACTCGGAAGATCTCCTCGACAGCTCCTGCTGCAGCCTTAGGACCTCTTCTCTTGCCATCTCATAGTATCTGCGAATCGTTTCTAGCTCTTGGCGTTGATCGGCATTTTCTCCAGGAAGCTCCAAAGGACGCAGCTGAGACCTGGCCGGCAGGTGAGCTGCATGCTAAACAAAAAAAAAAAAGAAAAGAAAAGCAAAAGTATGAAACCATGCCATAGGAAGTAATATGTAAACGAAGATCGCAAATTATAAATTATAAACTAATCAAGCATCTGGGGATATAAATACACAGAAAAAGTATGTAAGCTTGTGTTGCTATTATTTTTGTAATTTTTATATTATTTTTGTAATTTTTATATTTTTGTAATTTTTATATTATTTTCGTAATTTTTATAGCATAGATATAAATAGATTGTTGGATTTTAGTACCATGTGTTTTTGGAAGCTCGGCCTCCCCACTGATATACAAATGAACTTGTTGGACTGGTTTGTGAAGCCCAGGACAGGAAATGATGTAAAAGAAATGGTGGGAGGGGAAAGGACGTGATCATGCTCAAAAACAAAGGCACAGTTCTGGAGACTTCAGAGAAGCAAGAGTTGTTTGTAGGACTATATTATTATTATACAGGATTTATATCGCGCCAACAGTTTGCAACGCACTTTACAATAAAGGGAGACAGTACAATTACAATACATTTCAGTGCAGAAGGAATAGGAGGGCCCGGCTCGTGGAGCTTACAATCTAAAGGAAGGGGAGGTGAGGTGATAGCTGCGGCGGATGATCTGGCTGAGGTGGCTTCAAGTACAGTTCTTAGGTGGGGGTGGGGTAGGCTTCCCTGAATAAGTGATTTTGCAAAGATCGCCTAAAGGCAGACAGGGTGGGGGCTGACCAGACATACTAGGGTAGGGAGTTCCAGAGGATGGGGGGAAGCTCTGGAGAAGTCCTGAAGGCGAGGTAGGAGGAGGTGATGATGAGCTAGAGAGGAAGATATCTTGGGAGGAGCGGAGTGGGCGATTTGGGCGGTATCTGCGGATGAGGTTGGCGATGTAGCTAGGGGCTATATTGACATGACATAACGAAGGTCTGTGCCAGAAGAAAGGTACACTTTTGCCCAATTTCCTGCACCCGCTTGTAGAGTAAGCCGAGGGTCCTTGATGCCCAAGGAGATCGTGAGAACCTGAGCTAAGTAACTTTTTAGTGTATTTCTATTGTATACAGACCACAGGTCCAGATTTGCTAGGAAGTACGTAACATTTTGCTTGTTGTATGTATATCAGCCACTCTTACATTGTTTTTTTATAGTTGCAAGTTTGTGTGTAAAGCATTTTCATGTCGTAAAGTATATTAATACACTACAAAGATTCTTCTGAGCTTCCTTGCTTTTATGCAAAGTGACCTTTCTACACGCAAAGCAAAACAAAGCTCCAGATGCCTCCACTGACAGAATTCATGCCTTGCAGGGCAAAGTCAGAATCTTCCCAGGGCAATATCTATCACGTTAGCCCTGATGTTTGAATAGATTTTTCTAAACCTACACCAATTTTCTTCACACATTGGGTACAAAAGGGGGTAGCAAGCTTGCAGTTAAAGGCTAAGGCCCCATGTACGCGGGACACTTCTGAATGATGGAAACTGCTAGAAAATGTAGGTTAAAAAACGTGTGTTTAGCCGCGTTTGCATACGCGTTTATAAGCATTTTTTTTTTTTTTTTAAAGAGAAGCACAGGAGAACATCCCAAATGCCCAGAATTCACTGAAAAGTGGTAAATTATTAACTATTTCAGACTGTTTCAGAGGAATACAGAGAGTAGAAGCAGAGACAGCAGTATGTGTTGAGATTAGCTTAGGAGTGAGTTGCTCATTAACATTTCTTTTGTTTCCAAGGGTGGGAAAGGTGTCTGGTGGAGGGAGTCATCAAGGCTGCCTGGCAGGGGGTCTGCATGAGGAATTTGAGGTGTGGATGGTCCTTACCATAGCTTTTGTTTCCAAGGGTGGGAGAGGTCTGAGATGTGAATGGTCATTAACATATCTTTTGTTTGCAAGGGTGGGAGTGGTCTGAGGTGTGAATTGGTCATTAACATATCTTTTGTTTCCAAGGGTGGGAGAGGTCTGAGGTATGAATTTGTCATTAACATATCTTTTGTTTGCAAGGGTGGGAGTGGTCTGAGGTGTGAATTGGTCATTAACATATCTTTTGTTTCCAAGGGTGGGAGAGGTCTGAGGTGTGAAAATGGAGGGAGAGGTCTGAGGTGTGAATTGGTCATTACAATGTGTGACAAGCTTGGTAGGAACATCCTGTGTTCAGTGTTTTGACCATCTGAGTACCTTGAAAACTCTTTGCATGCATTTCTCATGATGAAAAAAGGCTCTGCACAGCATCGGGAACTGGAAGAGTTAAAAAAAAATTTCAGACGCAAACGCTTATAAACGCGATTTGCCGCATTTACAAGCGTTTTGCGTTTTAAAAAAAAACGCTGAGAAAATAGACTCCTGAATGCAAGTTTTCTGCGTTCAAAAAAAAAAACGACGATGTGTACATGGACACATAGGAAAACATTACGGGGAGTTCAGGGGCTGCTGAAAAAAAACGCAGAACATCTCCTAAACATGAGTTTATCATCTGCAGTGTACATGAACCCTAAGTCCACCTTTGGAACATGTTCCACCCGTATTTAAGGTGGAGCATGCAACCTGTTCCAGTTCCCGCCGGTTTCCGCCCAACCCTCCATGACAGCAGGCAGGGTTTCCTATCCCTGCACCCACTGTCACTTTTTGAAAGCAGCATGGCCACACACAGGGGTGGACTGACAACTCATGGGGCCCTGTGGCAATAGGGGATCATGGGGCCCCTGTGTCCTTGCCCAAACTCAAAAAAGCCTATGAAAAAGGTACCAGGGCCATCCCATGGGGTCCCCTACTGACCCTGGGCCCTCAGGCAGTGCCTGAGTTTCCAAATTGTCAGTCAGCCCCTGGCCACACAGCTTCATCATTCATTCACAGATTCCTGTGAATGAATAAACTACAAGTACAGCCTGTCACTGTGGCAGGTAGTTTCAATGGGCAGCAGGAGTGCGGATGAGAGCTCTCGTAGTCCACCGACATGTTCTCTAGATTTCAAACAGAAAGCCTGTACAGAGGTACAGGCTCAAAGCAGGAGGATATGTCTGCAGAAGCCAACATTGGACCTGCAGTGACAGATGGTACTTGTAGTTTTTGGCAGTCAGCTTCTCCTTACACACAGTAATTGCAGCCAGGATGTCCGCGCCAGACTGAGTCCCCTCCCTCCCCTGGGGAAGTCTGTGTGCTGACAGGAGTGGCTGCAGCCAGGGAACGCATGTCCAAGAAGGAGGGTGCGGGGAGTGCTCACCTGGGACCGTGCTGTGCGTGGCATAGGCACCAGTGTCGCCCAAAGTGCAGCACAGACTCACCGAAGGGTGGAGGCACAGTTCCCAATTCATGAAAAAGAAAAGCTGAAAGGAGCTCTGTGAAAGTCACTGGAGAAAAAAGTAGGATCAGAGCTCCAGCACCCAGAGTCCAGTCAGGTTCACATCCTGGCCAAGACCCCCATGGTACTTGTAGTTTATTCATTCACAGGAACCTGTGAATGAATGGCGCCACTGAGTGGGTGGGAGCCCCGCCTGCTTTCACAAAGTGACAGCGGATGCAAGGTGAGGAACCCCCATCTGCTGTCACAGGGGGGGGGAGGGGGGGGAAGGAGCTGGGACATGTTACATGTTCCACCCTAAGCACGGGTGAAACATGTTCCATGTTCCAAAAGTTGAACTTAGCCTTTATCTCTGAGCGAAGCAATGCTTTCCAAGCGCCTGCAGGAAAAAAATAACAAATGCACATTATGTTTTCTGCAAAAATATGTGCATTTTTTTGTGTAACCCCCGGTTCACACCTATGTGTGGGCAGCATTTTGCGCAGGCATGAGAGCCCAGTCATTTGAATTGACCCCCATGCCCCGTGACATGCAGGGAATGAAGTCCCGGCACTTCTTTGGAAAACACAGCCGAGGTTCCCAGTACGGTTGCAGTTTCCAGTGCGGACGGCGTGCCTTTAGAACTAATGTCACCTGCCCGCGGGTCCGCATTCCTCTGTGTGGGTGGTGCGGCTGCACGGATTTTCGTGCGGATCCACAGCGGCACCACCCGCATAGATGTGAACCTAGGGTAAAGGAGAACTTATCCTTTAATTTGAAAACTATTACTAAATCAAAATGCAGGCCTCCATAGCTGAAAAGCAATTGAAAATCTGACATTGTTGTAGGAAAACGTCTCCACAATATTTCCATTACTGCTAAATTCGTTATTTCCAATAAGCTCCTGAATTATTTTTTTTTATTTATATCTAAAAATAGCTCTTTTTTAACAGAACAAGTACCTAAGCCGCCATTGGGAACATGCAGTGGGCCTTCAAACAGTTCTGTTCTCAGATTCAGGACCCATAGTGTTCCTGAATCTCTATAGCAAATATTGGGCATTTTTCCTGTCCTGAGAGCTTGGTCCTGCCCCCTATACCCCCCTCATCTTAGTGAGGCATATAGAAAAAGGAGAGTATATGGTGCTGCGAGTGAGGGGAGTATGCATGTAGTATAGTGAGAACCGCAGTGAGTAATTAAGGTCCAAACGGCACAACCAGGATGAATTCCTGAAATATATTTTAAAAATATAATTCCCAAATATATTGCCACATATTTGAAATGCTACAATTTTGGCCGTATTCAATATATATATACACACATACATACTATATATATATAAAAAATTTTGATTACAAAATATATGAAACATTTTTAAAAATACATTTCAAATAAACTTTATGTCTTTAAAAATACAAATCTAAATTTTTGGAGCGCATTTACAAATATATGTAAAAATTATTTTTTTATGTTAAAAAATCTGAAGAATGTATTAAAAAAAAAAATATTTTTAAAAAATTATATTTTTTTAAAAATATCTTCAGATTTTTTTTTAACATTTTTACATATATTTGTAAATGCATTCCAAAAATGTAGATTTGTCAAGACATACAGCATATTTGAAATTTATTTTTTTGTAATAAAAATGCATTTCAACATACAGTATATATATATATAATATATATATATATATATATATATATAATTATTATATATATTTTTTTTTTTTTTTTATGAAATATATTGAATACGGCCAAAATTGTAGTACTTCAAATATATGTCAATATATTTGGGAAGGATATTTTTACCAAACATGCAAAAATCTGCAAAGTTTAAAATGTAGCTGTCATGGCGAACAGACCGCTCGGTTTTTTGTTGCTATTTATCCAATTGACAATTCCATGACAATACAATGTAGCCAATTTCTTTATCCTGAGAAAAGATTTATCCTTTGGAATTAAGTCTACAGCGTGAGAAATGAGCATTTTCCATACATTCTGTAATACAAATGCATTTCAGCATGCAGTGTATATATATCTATCTCTATATTATTATACAGGATTTATGGCGCCAACAGTTTGCTCAGCACTTTACAATATATATATATCTATTATCTCTCTATTTATATATATATATATATTTATATATTTTTATATATATATATATATATATTTTTTTTTTTTTTTTTTTTCTTGAATCTCTCTATATCTATTATATATATATATATCCAAATCTATCTATCTAGCATTTATATAAATATAAAATGGCAATAATTTAGGAAGAATATTTTTAAAATATAATTTCAAATATATTTTTCTTCCATGTGGGAGTACTTGATGCAGCACCTCTGGAGAGACTGAAGTATATCTAGGTGAACAGATGACGACAACAGTAGGGCGCGCTCTGAGTGTAGTCCATTATATAAATGAAATGAACACCTAATGTGCACTCAGAGCGCGCCCTCCTGTTCTCTTTATCTTAGTTAGGCAGCCCTTCGCAATGACAAAACCAAAAAGCATGACCTGGAAATGGTGCCAGACTGTCAACTGGAAAATGTGGTCAATATTCCCCCAAAAGTCCTGGGCATTCCTGATGCTGAAGTGAGAAAACTAACCAAGAATGCCAACTACATAATACCATTGAGAGCAAATTTTTTTTTTTTTTTTTTTTTTTTTTTTTAACTTGAATATCTACCTTTACTATCAGCTGTTATTTTATGGAGAACTATTTGGTGCAAGCTCGTTATCCAAGTCTTATCGAAAACTGGATGGAACATGTGTTTTCTAAGCCTGCGGTGGGTGTAAAAGACCGCACCATCTGCTGCTGCCAACATTACTGTGAAGCCTTCAGTCCAAAATGTTATGAATTGCGCAATACTAACAATTATTACTGCTAACCAAAATAGTACAGCCTCAGCATTACCATCTAAACAGGATATATAGTGCAGCAGAAGTCACAAAAACACTTTTATTAAAAAAAAAAACAAACAAAAAAACAACAACAAAGTACCTGAGGATCCGAGCCTAGAACAAGATTCTGTTTCACTACAACCTCCTCTTTACCTAGAAAGCAAGAAAACAGAAATCAGCAACCGCTGAGGTGTGTGATAGGATCAGTACAGCCGCCTCTCGCTCTCATACTCACCAGGGCTGAAAGGGCTACTTGGGGCCGAGGGATTCTTTTGCTGCAAAACAAAAATTAGGAAACAAATTTAAGGGTTTGGGCTTTTGATGATGGCGTCACACTTCTGAGATCACGCAGAATTTATTTACAGGTGCATTTGACTTGCTGTTGACCCCCTTCTGACCTGCTTCAAACAGGTTCTGAATTTCCACAGACTTGTATTAGAACGCAAAACTTGTTTTAATTCAACAAAATCCATCAGGCCCCTTTCACAGGGGAGTTCATTTTTTTTCATCAGTTCAGTCACGTTTTATTACCAAGAAAAAAACGGATCTGTCCGCGCCAGTTTGGGTCCAGTCCGCGCCAGTTCGGGTCCAGTCCGCATCAGTTGTTCGTCCGTTCACATCAGTTGTTCGTCCGTTCACATCAGTTGTTCGTCCGTTCACATCAGTTGTTCGTCCGTTCACATCAGTTGTTCGTCCGTTCACATCAGTTGTTCGTCCGTTCACATCAGTTGTTCGTCCGTTCACATCAGTCGTTCGTCCGTTCACATCAGTTGTTCGTCCGTTCACATCAGTTGTTCATCCATTTCGTTTTTTTTGCTCCCATCCAGTTGTTTATATACATGGGCCGGACGGGAAGTGGTTAAACATGTTCCTGTATAAAGCACCATATGATCAGGACAATAAAACATGAACTGTTCAGCAAACAGCCAGTTCCCATTCTCACAATCTCTCCTGTGACAGCAACCCAAGGACCTCGTTGCATTCAAACCTTCGGTACAGACGGACTGAAATTTGGCCAGTCTGGCAGGGACCTGTTGGATTTGGATCTGTGCCTCCCACTGTCAGAATACAATGCCACATCGGGGAGGGTTCCTTCACCTGCCTCGCTTGCGTGGATGGGGGAATCCGTACGTTGGTTTTCGTTTGGCCCACCAGCTGAACGAAGAAAAAAATCTCAAACCGCACATCCCCAGCTCAAGGCTGCCTCTGCACGGGCGTTTAGCCACAATACGAATCCCAGCAACAGGAATCCATTTGGTCCCTGTTGCTGAGATTTACAGCTGCGTCTGTACAGCGCCTGTACCCAGCGATGACAGGCTGTCAGCGGCTGCAGCTTTTTGTGACCTGCGGTTATCATGGCTGGACGCACACAAAGTGCAGCTAACCGGACATTGCTGCCAATCAGTAATTCTTGCCGCTAGGATTTGCACCACGGTTTAGCGCCTGTGCCAATGCAGCCTAATCACACCAAGATGCGATATACTCAGCTGTGTTATTAATATGCAGGATTTGTATAGCGCCAACAGTTTGCACAACACTTTACAATATAAAGGGAGAGAGTGCAGTCACAGTACAATAAAACACAAGAGGATTAAGAGGGCCCCGCTCATAAGAACTTACAATGCCACAGTGGGGCAAGGGGTACAAAAGGTTATAACGTCGGCAGTGGTATATTTAGGTTTTGTGCTGCGCCACAGAGAAAGCCTGACACCAACCAGCACAACCCCCCCCCACCCGAGAGAGCCCTCCACTACCACCACTCTCTATACACCGGCCACAACCAGCGAGAGAGAGGAAGACACTCACCATCACAGCACCCCCCCCCCCCCGACCTGAGAGCCTTCCACTACCACCACCCTCCACACACCGGCCACAACCAGCGAGAGAGAGGAAGACACTCACCTTCACAGCACCCCCCCCCACCAGAGAGAGCGTTCCACTACCACCACCCTCCATACACCAGCCACAACCAGCAAGAGAGAGAGAGAGAGACACACTCACCTTCACAGCGCACCCCCCCCCCCACCTGAGAGCCTTCCACTACCACCACCCTCCATACACCAGCCACAACCAGGGAGAGGGAGAAGAAGACACTCACCTTCACAGCACCCCCCCCCCACCAGAGAGAGCCTTCCACTACCACCACCTTCCATATAACGGCCACAACCAGCGAGAGAGAGGAAGACACTCACCTTCACAGCAACCCCCGCCCCCCCCCCCCCCCCCACCTTAGAGAGCCTTCCACTACCACCACCCTCCATACACCGGCCATAACCAGCGAGAAAGAGAAAGGACACTCACCTTCACAGCACCCCCCCCACCCCGAGAGAGCCCTCCACTACCACCACCCTCCATACACCAGCCACAACCAGCGAGAAAGAGAAGGACACTCACTTCACAGCACCCCCCCACCAGAGATCCTTCCACTACCACCACCCTCCATACACCGGCCACAAGCAGCGCGAGAGAGAGAAAGGACACTCACCTTCACAGCACCCCCCCCACCCGAGAGAGTTTTCCACTATCACCACCCTCCATACACCGGCCACAACCAGCGAAAGAGCGAGAGAGAGAAAGGACACTCACTATCACAGCACCCCCCCCCCTCCTTCCCCCTCCCACCTGAAAAAGCCTTCCACTACCACCACCCTCCATACAGCAGCCACAACCAGCGAGAAAGACACTCACCATCACAGCACCCCCCCCCCCCCCCCACCAGAGAGATCCTTCCACTACCACCATCCTCCATACACCGGCCACAACCAGGGAGAGGGACAGAAAGGACACTCACCTTCACAGCATCCCCCCCCACCCGAAAAAGCCTTCCACTACCACCACCCTCCATACACCAGCCAGAAAGAGAAAGACACTCACCTTCACAGCACCCCCCCACCAGAGAGCCTTCCACTACCACCACCCTCCATACATCGGCCACAACCAGCAAGAGAGAGAAAGACACTCACCTTCACAGCACCCCCCCACCAGAGAGCCTTCCACTGCCACCTGTTTCCTCCAGGTACTCCCCGGTTTCCTCCCACACTTTAACCACTTGCCTACCGGGCACTTATACCCCCTTCCTTACCAGGCCAATTTTCAGCTTTCAGCGCTGCCGCACTTTGATTGACAATTGCGCCGTCATGCAACATTGTACCCATATGAAATTTTGATCATTTTTTTCTCACAAATAGAGCTTTCTTTTGGTGGTATTTAATCGCCACTGGGCGCATTACTTTTTGCGCTATAAATTAAAAAAAGTGCAAAAAATTTGAAAAAAAAAAAAAAAAAAGTTTATTTGTTTCTTTTATAAAACTTTTCAAACAGGTATTTTTTCTTCTTCACTGATTTGCGTTGATGAGGCGGCACTGATGGGCACTGATAGGCAGCACTAAAGGGCACTGATAGGCAGTACTAATGAGGTGGCACGGATAGGCGGCACTGATAGACAGCACTAATTAGGGGTCACGGATAGGCGGCACTGATATGCAGCACTGATAGGCGGCACTGATAGGTGACACTGATTATGGGTACTGATAGACGGCACTGACTGGCATCACTTCTGGGCACTGACTGGCGGCACTGACTGGCACAACCCCTGGGCACTGACTGGCGGCACTGACTGGCACAACCCCTGGGCACTGACTGGTGGCACTGACTGGCAGCACTGCTGGGCTGCACTGGTGGGCGGCACTGGTGGGCACCACTGGTGGGTGGGCACAGGTGGGTGGCACTGGTGGGCACAGGTGGGTGGCACTGGTGGGCACAGGTGGGTGGCACTGCTGGCACATGTAGGTGGCACTTCTGGGCACAGGTAGGTGGCACTGCAGAGTGGCACAGGTGGGGGCACTGCTGGGCACAGGTGGGGGCACTGCTGGGCACGGGTGGGCGGGGCTAGTGGGCGCACTGCTGGGAGGAACTTGCGGGTGTCACTGCTGGGCACCGATCATCAGGGCACTGATCATCAGTGCCCTGATGATCGGTGCCGATCCCCGCTCTGACAACTGCCGGTTCTCGGCAGTACTTTCCTCACGATCTGACAGCGTGAGGAAAGTGCAGCCGAGAACCGGCACTTGCATTTTCCTGTGATCAGCGTGTCATTGGACACCGCTGATCACGTGGTAAAAGGCCGGTGGGATCGGCCTTTCACCACATCTCGTGATCAGCTGTGTCCGTAGGACACAGCGATCACGGAGATCGCCGGGTGCGCGCCCCCTGGGGCGCGCAGGAGAGCGCGTTCTGGGAGGACGTCATATGACGTCCACCCAGAACTAGCCGGCCGCGATGCAGCCGTCATTCGGCTATGCGCGGTCGGCAAGTGGTTAAAGACATGCTGGTAGTTTAATTGGATCCTGTCTAATTTGGCCTTAGTATGTGTATGTATGAATGTGAATTAGGGACCTTAGATTGTACGCTCCTTGAGGGTTAGGGACTGGTGGGAATGTATAAATTATAATATATATATATATATATATATATATATATGAGGTGCTGTGTAAATTGACGGTGCTAAATAAGGAGCGCACATTTCTTTTGCAAAGAAATTATTTTTTGCTGCAGGAGCCTGTAAAGTATTTCCCCAGCAATCAGTAGATGGCTGGTGCAATGCAGGTCTCCTGCAGATCTGTCAGTATGTCTGCTTGATGTACGAGCAAGCAGATACACACAAAATGGGAAGATCCCCCCACCCGCTAGCTGTCAAAGAGGGGGGATCGTCGGGGAGCAGAGGCCGGTGCTTTCATAACATGTTACACCGTAAATATGCGTGTAACATGTTACGAAAGGTGAACGTATCCTTTAATAGATCGGTGATGGTTTTCAACAGCACAGAAAACCCAACAGGCACCTTTCTACTGAACCTCAGCAATATTCCAACTAAAGTTTAAATAAGTAAAATGTCATTTAGGATCCTTCGATTGATTTGCACGATAAAAAACACATTAAATGCCGAGCCGACAATCCTAAAACGAGGACCTTTTCGATGAATATGAAGTATAGCGACTACCCATTTCCTCTCCCCACCACCTGCATGGTCCCTTTTCAGTTCCCCTCATTTCCTACCCCACATCCTGCCACCCAGGCGGGACCCTCGCTCACCTCGTAATACCGCATTTTTCCTCGCAGGTTCTCCATCGTTCTCAAGCTGTCTTCTAGTTCTTTCTCTTTTGCTTCCAGCAGGGATTTTAGGTCCTCTTTCTGCGATTGGAGAGAGATAAAGAAATAAAAATCCGCATACAACTTACAGAAGGGATCATGGAGGGCCACAGGTCTCCGGACCTCACCTCATTCTCCAGGTCATCCGTGATCATCTGTTCCTGTAAAGTGAACACAATGTAAGTGTCCTGTGTGGGAACAATTGTGTTCTATACTGCAGTCACCACAAACTACTGGAAACCCCACCTAGTTCCCATGTACAAAACACAGCCTCCCACACCCCCCATCTGGGTGAGATGCTGAAATACGTTATTTCCCGTCTCCTGCTGACAGTTGTTTTCCTTCCCCCCCCCCTGATCTGCTGTTATGAGTCCCATCGGTTTCACAGTTCCATGACTGCAGACTGGAGGGGGATCGTCCACCTGACACAGCAGAAGGTTCCGGAGCAGTTATTGCAGCAGGTGGATCCAACTCCTCAAATCTCCCTCCTGACTGGAGTCAACCTGAACATCCCAAAGATCTGCAATGTCTGAATGCCCGAAATTACGCACAATAATACGCTAAAAAGTCACACAGCATTCACTATATGAGCACATAATTATGGCGTGAGCCTCCTTGAAGTGTTACTAAACCAAGGACCCCGCGTTCACTACGTCCGCCCTCCCCGGACCCCGCGTTCACTACGTCCGCCCTCCCCGGACCCCGCGTTCACTACATCCGCCCTCCCCGGACCCCCGCGTTCACTACGTCCGCCCTCCCCGGACCCCGCGTTCACTACGTCCGCCCTCCCCGGACCCCGCGTTCACTACGTCCGCCCTCCCCGGACCCCGCGTTCACTACGTCCGCCCTCCCCCCCGGACCCCGCGTTCACTACGTCCGCCCTCCCCGGACCCCGCGTTCACTACATCCGCCCTCCCCGGACCCCGCGTTCACTACATCCGCCCTCCCCCGGACCCCGCGTTCACTACATCCGCCCTCCCCGGACCCCGCGTTCACTACATCCGCCCTCCCCGGACCCCGCGTTCACTACATCCGCCCTCCCCGGACCCCCGCGTTCACTACATTCGCCCCTCCCCGGACCCCGCGTTCACTACATCCGCCCTCCCCGGACCCCGCATTCACTACATCCGCTCTCCACAGACCCCGCATTCAGGATATCCCGCTCTCCCCGGACCCCGCATTCACTATATCCGCTCTCCCCGGACCCCGCATTCACTATATCCGCTCTCCCCGGACCCCGCATTCACTATATCCGCTCTCCCCGGACCCCGCATTCACTATATCCGCTCTCCCCGGACCCCGCATTCACTATATCCGCTCTCCCCGGACCCCGCATTCACTATAATCCGCTCTCCCCGGACCCCACATTCACTATATCCCCGGACCCCGCATTCACTACATCCCCCTCCCCGGACCCCGCATTCACTACATCCGCTCTCCCCTGGACCCCGCATTCACTATCCGCTCTCCACAGACCCCGCATTCAGGATATCCGCTCTCCCCCGCATTCACTATATCCGCTCTCCCCGGACCCCGCATTCACTATATCCGCTCTCCCCGGACCCCGCATTCACTACATCCGCTCTTCCCGGACCCCGCATTCACTATATCCGCTCTCCCGGACCCCGCATTACACTACATCCGCTCTCCCCCGGACCCCGCATTCACTACATCCGCTCTCCTCGGACCCCGCATTCACTACATCCGCTCTCCCCAGGACCCCGCATTCACTACATCCGCTCCCCTGGACCCCGCATTCACTATATCCGCTCTCCCCAGACCCCGCATTCACTATATCCGCTCTCCCCGGACCCCGCATTCACTGTATCTGCTCTCCCTGGACCCCGCATTCACTATATCCGCTCTCCCCGGACCCCGCATTCACTACATCCGCTCTCCCTGGACCCCACATTCACTATATCCGCTCTCCCCGGACCCCGCATTCACTATATCCGCTCTCCCCGGACCCCGCATTCACTATATCCGCTCTCCCCGGACACCACATTCATGATATACACTCTTCGGACCCCCGCATTCAGTAAATCTGGTCTCCCATAGTACACACAACATGGAAATGCAATTACTTTAGTAA